TTCTTCTTCTTCTTCTTCTTCTTCTTCTTCTTCTTCTTCTTCTTCTTCTTCTTCTTCTTTTTGGTACAGGGGATTGAACTTGGGACCTTGAGCTTACAAGGCAGGTGGTGCAACCACTGAGCTAAATCCCCAGCCCCTTTTGTTTTTGATAATAGCCGTCCTGACAGGTGATATTCCAGTGTGGTTTTGATTTGCTTTTCTTTCATGATTAGTGATGTTGAGCAATATTTTCATATACCTGTTGGCAATTTGCATCTATTCTTTGGAGAAATGTCTACTTAAGGTCTTTGTTCATTTTAATCGAGTTGAGTGTTTTGCTATTGAGTCGCAAAAGTTTCTCATGTAAGCCTCATTAGTCATAAATATTAACCCTCATTCAATATGTTATTTTCAAACATTTTCTTCTATTTTGTAAGTTGCATTTTCATTCCTTTGCTTGATTGCTATACAGAAATTTTCTGTCTTCTTTTTTCTTTTTATTTTATTTTTTGGTTTTATGTCTGCAAACTTGTCTGTCTGTGCTTTTAGTGTCATATCCAAGGAGTTATTGTTACAACCAATGTCAAGAAGTTTTTAGACACAAAACTGTAAGACTCGTGGAAAAACAAATGAGATAAGTACATTTTCAATACAAGAATATTTTGTTAAGTATCAAAATATGCTATTTCAAATCCATTTGTGATGATTACAATTATGCAAAGTATGTGACCTGGTAAAAATATTTTTCAAGACTCCTATGGAAGCTTATTAGACTCATCCACCAAGCCACTATGACATCTGATATGAGTGAAAAGTTAGGTTATGTCTCAAATTCCACTGCCAAGGTAAATAGCTTTAAAAATCTCAGTCTAATTCAATTACAAGTTATTTCTCTGGCCACTGGAGTCTTTGAAATGTAGTCACATTTTAGGATACTACTCCGAATACAAAATTGCTTGCTGTTAGAGGTACTGTACCACTTTTTTCTTATGAATTCCACTGCATATTCATACTTCATCTCATCTTCATTCCATACTATGACAACAAATGCTGAAGTTCTGCCAACACCTGTAACAAACAGCAGCACAAAACCAAATTCTTCATAAAACTAAACTTTTAGGCCAGGTGTAGTGGGGTACCCCTGTAATCCCAGCACGTGGGAGGCTGAGGCAGTAGGATCACTATGAGTTTGAGGCCAGCCTGGGGTACATAGTGGGTTCAAGGCCAGCCTGAATGACAAGGCAAGACCTTGTCTCAAAAAAAGAAACTTAATTTTTTACAAATCTTAACTAGTCATCAACAATTTGACTGAATGGTAGTGCATCATCTTCAAAAGGTTATAAAATTTGCTTTTCCACAAGGTTATAATACTTGCTTCTCTGTAGACTGTGTATTCTTCCTGTTGTAGTAACTTCATACTTAAATTCTCTCTGAATTTTTTTAATCTCACACTGGTCAGACTGGACTACCACAGGGGTAGAGCCATTTATTCAATCCATGCTAATTTAATTAAAATACATCTAATCAAATTATGGAAGAATTATAAGAGTTGAATACATGAATGATGCAAATAAACTTCACTCTAAATTCTCAGTGCTGAGTTTGTCAAGTTCAGAGTAACAAGTAATGAAGTGAACCCCCTAACAAGAAGCAGTAGTCTTGTACTCTGGGAGGCTAACGTAAGATTTTCACAAGTTTGAGCCCAGTGTGGGCAACTTAGTGAGACCCTGTTTCTACATAAAACCATAAAAAATGCATAGGGATGTAGTCCACTGTAAAGGCTCTAGGTTCAATCTTGAGCATGAGAGAGAGAGAGAGAAAGAGAGAGTGAGAGAAGCAAACCTTCCACTCAATTAACACTTAACTGATAGAAAAGACACTGGAGTTAACCCCATCAAAGTCAGAATTCTTGTAATATGTTCTAGAAATTTCAATTCAGCACTCAGTGTCCAGGTTAGTCAATTTGGTGATGGATTTTTGGTGGAATAGTGACAAATTTCACTGGCTTATTTGTGTATGTGATGCCTGAAAATGCTGTGCCTGGTAGTTATGTCCATTGCCTTTCAGACACCCCATGAATGCAACCAAGAACAGCACAGAATGGGGAATGTTCACCCATGGGTGACCACATAGCTGGTCAACAGGCAGCAGCAGTGCAGCTGGGGATGGGGCACCAGGCTCTACTGTGCAGTGAGCAGCTCCAAAGACTGTGTGGCCTCATCCTGGCCCACAGCAGAGGGATCCATAAAATGCATATCAAAGTTCAAAGTTTAGTTTTTATCCCAAGAAGTAATATCTGAGAAATGAAGAAATTCACAACCATGTTATGAAAATCTGGTGTGAATTAAACCAACTTAACCAGGAAACATCTAATGGATGGAAATGAATGTCTATGTGTTTGAAAGGAGAAGTATAAGGATGTACATAGGGTGGGTCAGTGTGACCATTAGTGTCTTTTGGGCTTAGTATAATGTCTATGTTTTCAGGGGTAGACCAGATCTTCTAACTGAAAACTATAATAATTTCCTTTTATTTTAGAATAAAATCTTGACATTTTACTGTGTCGTATGTGGTCTGGCTACTGCCTCTTTTCCCATCCCAACCTACACACATTCTTCCATTTACCTCAAGCTGCAGGGATTTAAATTCCTTGGTATAACTCTTAGGTGCATAATTTTCTACTTTTGTCCCTTTGTTATGAAGGGCTCCTAAGAGTTAGAGCTTGGCTTCTCACTCAGGTCTGAATGCTTTCCAACGTATCTTAGCTGTCTTCCTTAAGGGAATATGATTACAATGTATGACTGGTTTTAGAGGCCATCCTAAAAAGGATGTAACTACTTCTTTATATCTCCAGTACAAAGAAAAGGGGTGAGACTCTTCCTTACATTATGGAAACATCTTCCCCACTTACCAACTCCTGGGAGAGACTGTCAGCCTTGTGTCACTGGCCTTTCCATTCATGGCTTATTGTGTTCCTGCTGATGACTTCTGCTCCAAAGGTTGCTGTCAGCAAAGCAGAGGGCTCTAGTCAATGGAAACTTTATTTTTAGAAAGCTGTATTCTCTTCATATGAAAAATAGTACCCCACAGTTATCCTCCAAAAGCTTCTTGGGTAAATTTACACAGATATACATTTAAAAAAATTTTTGCAGTCTGACTAGGACATTTTGCCATGGTTCTATAATTCCAGGGATTAAAGATAAATAAAATGCCTTATATGATATTTTGAGCTCTGTGAATAAAAACTTCTATATATAATAATGGCAGGGAATAACGAAAATGTGCAATTTAAAAATAAAACGACCTATCAAGCAGGAAAACAATTTCCCTGACTGACTTTTCAGTTAGGCTGTTAAGGGACAACTGAACTTTCATGTAAAAAGAGCCATGATCTGCATGGGTGGTTTCCCTCACTTTTCCAAGTGTCTTCCACACACATTGTGTCCCTTCCTCCAGTTTAATTAAGAAAGGAAGTGAGAAAAGCATGCATTTTCTCTGTATGTCAGTGCAATAGAGTTCCCTAAGCCAACAAGAATACCGTAAGTTTCAAGTACTCTCTCTTCGTTAGCAAGTCTATTTTATTCTTTCTCTTCAATTTTCTTCTTCAACATCAACTGTCAATTTTATCATCATTGACTTGATCTGTTTCATCATCTTTAAAACAACATTTAGATTCACTGCTGAAACTGAAGGGCCTCCTCTTCACTTTGACTGCACTTCAAACATCCTATTTGCTCAATGGCAGACAACTGAGGGCTGAAGGATTCCAGAAACCCACCACCTTCCCATGAATTCATACTAAGCTCACAATGTCATACCCTACTTTTGTTGACCTTGCCACCTCTTCCCAATTACTATGACTTCTCACTGCTGCCACAAACACCTCCAAGACACATGCAGCACTCTGTCTTCACAGACCCTGCCAAGATAGTACCATCGGGGATGCTCTTCTTGATGCTTCCCATTTCTCCCTCACAGAAAGGAACTGACCTCATGCATTATGCTACCATTTCAGAATGGACCACACACACTTTAGAAAGCATGACTGCTGCACATATGAGACTCCACCTGTTCACACCCTCTTCTCAGGAGAATGTGGCTGCAACACAACACCTCCAGAGCTGAATCTCTTTTTGTCTCTGTTCTTTTCTGAGAACCCTTAACATCTGTCCCTATGGAATTGTTTGAAGCTACTAATTTTGGGGGATTCCAATTTTCAGTTTATAGAGATAAATTGCAGACACTTTATTGTTAATCTTGATTCATCAGTCTTTTTGTAACCTTAACTTTCTCCTTTGCAGAAGAATAGAATACACAAAAACACATTTCTGTAAGCCTATTTCTCACTTTCTCGGATTTCAGTTCCAATGTACTTGAAATTCAGGACACTCCTATTGGGATTCTATTTGGAAATATTTTAAAATATTTTCCATCACAAACTTCTAATTTACTCTCTGAGACTTACAAACCTGGGTGTCACATATTACCATCTTCAAATGAGGAAATCAGAAAGAAATGGATAAAATATTTACATGAAATATGTATAGTAAAATATATCCTATGTCTTGCATATATGTACAAAGATGCAAACCAGGTTTACAATATTATCTTGAAACAAAATAGAAGGGAAGTCCAAAGTTTCTAGTAAGAAATGTGTGAAAAATGAAATATAATTGGACAACTAATATTTCTAATTTAAGGTCTGAACAACATAATTGATATTCTCATGCTTAGACTATTATTACTTTAATTTTAGGAGGCAAAAATAAAGAAATGATGGTTTTATTCTTGCCCATTCTGGTTGTTTATTTCCATGTAATAAGTCCCTCTTAGACTTAGTGATTTTAAATGTCAACAACTACATTATGTATCATAGTTTTAGGGGCTAGAAATTTGGAACAGACAAGAGTTGGCAATTCTGGTCAGACAATGACAGTGTTGGAGCTGGAACAGCAGAAGGTTGGAATATATACTGGTTGTCCATCTGTGAGTGTGTTTGTGTGTGTGTGTGTGTGTGTGTATGTGGTGTTTCCATGTCATCAAGTAGTTCCAGAACTTTTCCAGTTTCTTGGTTCATGTAAGTTAACTGTGTTTCCTCAGAGTCCAGACAACTTCAGGAGAGTGGACTGTGTATAAATGGCAGCTCAGGGCTCCCAGATGAAAGTCTAGTAAGTGGGACAAAAGCCTCTCCACATAGCCTCAGCAGCCGCATTGAGTCCATGTTGACAAGGATGCTACGAAGACCCTACTCTCTCAAAGCAGGGAGGATCAAGTAAGTTGTGGCTGTTTTGAAAACTCCACATTCCACACTCTTGCCAAAAATTATTTGCATTATTTTAGCATTCAAAATATAACCACTCCCTCCTAACAGTCCAGAAGTTAGATTTCATCACAGAATCCAGCTCAGAGTTGAAGTTCTAGATCATTCTATAGATGTGCACAAAGTTTCCTGGGTTAGTTTCCTTGGATACATCTCTTCAGATATGAATCCTCTCTATTTAATGATATAAAAACTAAAATTAAACAGTTTGCCTCTTCACATTAAGCTCTTCCACAAAGTATGCATATTTCAAAATGTCTTGTACATAATAAACATATTTGATTTTTGTCAATTAAAATAATTTTAGGGTGAAAGTTTTCAGCTTTTGTCCATTTAGTACGATGTTGGCTGTTGGTTTGCTGTACATGGCTTTTATCAGATTGAGACAAAGACCTTGAAACTATACTCGTAGGTGAAATAAATCAGACACACATGTAAATATTGTATTGTCTCTCTGGTGTAGGAAACTGAAAGTGTAAATAGGGACCAAAATGTATAATGGGCAATGTGAAATAAGAAAAAATTGTTCCAAAGTAAAGGGGAAAAAAAGGAAAAAGAAAAAATGAGAAAAGAAAAAAATGGAAACAGGGCTTCTGTAAATAAGGAGAGGAAGAAGGGTTGAAGGGAGGGGAGGAGAATGGGAATAAAAGGAATCAAGATACATCATGTACAGGTACCAATTCCCTATGATGAAAGGGATCATTACATATATTGAAATTGTACCAATAAAATTAAAATTAAAAATAATTTTAAAACGCATTAGGGTAAATGCTATAGGCAAGACAAATCAAAAGGAGAGGAAATGGGGCATAGGAAGGTTTCGAGAGCAAGGCATTTCTGAAACCCAGCTAGACACCTTTCTAGTGCCTTGCTTAGAACCAATACTGCTCCCAAGGACTGATTCTCTGTAGGTCTTGCTTTCATATCATGGGATCTTGGTTCCAACACCCAAATCATCAAATGATCAATTGAATCATTTTTTCATATCCTTTCCTGCCTGTAGACGTTTGAGGATCTGAGTACATGTTTTGCATCTTTTATTGTCTTGTCCACACTGGTACAATTTTATATTTTAAAAATGACATGGACTTTTTGTATCCCGATCTACACTTTATTCCATTATTCAGAGACAAACTACTAACGCCTTTTGTAATAAAATCTTCTCTACCTTGAGGTCCCAGTCAGGCTTCTGTGGGAAAACACTCATAAGATTCTTGAAAAGTCAGACTTTTTGGAGATGGGAAGAGGTTTGGGGATGGGGCCAGGGAGACAGGAGGGAAGGGAGGAGAAGGGAAAGTAAATAAGATTCAGATTTGAGGTATATATGCACCAACTCACCAAGATGAATATGATTATTATGTATCATAAAAGTATGCTGATAAAAAAGATTCTTACAGATACTATTATTTAATAGAGAAAGTTTGTATTAATATTTAATAGTGAAGGTAGGCTCTTAAAATCTTCAAAGGGCTTCTTTGATGTTTGAAAGGGTCAATGTGACATCAAATTTGATATTTCTGAGGTTTTTACAAGAACTCTTCATAGGCCCATCCCAGATTTGGTGTCTTCTCTGAGCCATTTTAGGGCAAAGTATTAAGTATTGGGCTACTGTTGAGTATTTTATAACTTCATTTTTATAATCTAGAAAGTCTAAGAATGAGATATAATTTATTTTATAACTCAGAAGTCCCTGGGTCCTTTATTTTTCCTTCAAATTTTGCTTGTAAATTGAATAATTCCTTTTGTAGTTCATCTGTACCTCATCATACATGGTTAAAGGAAAAAACATATGTCCAATATTTCCTCAGCCAGAGCCACCTGTTTATGAGGTACATTTTCCATTTCCAATATTTCCACAAATAATATTAAACATTCCGCCACCACATTTAATCAATTTCCTTTTCTTCAGCTTCAAATGGTATTTGTCCCTATTTTCTCTCAGCGTTCTCTAACCATCTCGTTGAGGCCCCATTCGGCTTCCGTTAACAGTCTCCTCCTGTCCATCCTTCTGCCCACCACACGGGCCCAAACCCAACCCAGCTGATTTAGGTCTGTGTCACAGATAACACTTCATATCTAGATACGACATTGTATCCTGGCTATCTGATGATACACGAAAATTAACTCAACTCTTAATACAGCAATCATGTTGTTATGTCCACAATTTGTGTGGCTCAGAAACCCCAGGACATGGTAGTTTAGGTTGGTATCTTGCATGCAGTTTCACTTGGACAGTAGCTAGAATACTGTCAGCCTGTGGGCCTTTCTCTTCATGGAGCAATTGGGCTTCTCTGTAGTCTTTCTGCATGGGACAGGCAGAAATTCCTCAAAGAATGGCAGCCGGGAAGGGGAAAAAGAAAAATTATGAGAAAAGGAAAAAATGGAAACAAAGTCCTTGTAAAAAGTGAAAGGTGGAAGGGGTGAAGGGAGGACAGGGAATGGGGAAAAAATAAGAACCAAGATACATCTTGTACAGGTACAAGCACCAATTGAGAAATGTAAATGCATTGTTTACCTAAAATGTACCAATTAAAGAATTTAAGGGGGGGAAAAAAGAAAAGAACGGCAGCCTCAGAGCCCTGCTGCAGGTGTTTCAGTGAGCAAGTGAATGACTTCATGTCCTTTTATGACCTACCCAGCCTCAGATATCTCCTAGAATTATATTAAGTCCTCTCAAATCGAATGGTTAAGAATACAGGCACTGCCCCTCACTGAACTTGGGCTTATGCTTTAAAATTTCCTCAATAACTTTAGCTTACTTTAATCATACTTTCTTAATAAGGTCTTAAGTTTCTCAATTATGAGACTTCCTACAGAGATGGTTTTAGGAATTCAATTCTCACCTTGAGTGAAAGAACTACAGTATCAATTTAATAGCTTTATCGTGGATTTCCAAGTATCAGCTCATGTGCCATTAGTGTATTTTAACCATCTTCCTTTGGCCTCCTTGCTGTTTTGAAACAGTATAGCCTAGACCTGAATGATCCTACTTCTCTATACATGAAGTTTTTTCTCTGCTCTGCTCAATTAGTTCTGGTTTCTGACCATTATCTATTAAAAAACAAGCCATTTAAAATAAATTACACTAAGTGATATGGCTTTTGAATAAGCAACTCTGACCCTGGGCTTTGAAGAGCTCTTCCATTACACAATTAACCTCTTTGTCCCCATAAAGGACCTCAATTTAAAGACATTTCATTCTGTCATTCACCACAAATATCTCATTGGAGTTATGTGTTGATTATAACAAGTGAAAGAGGAAATTATGCCTGCTTAATATTAACAGACTATAATTCTAATCCCAATGGTTTCTTTTTGTATTTCTGCCTAAGGAAGTACACAAAATCAACATGCATCTACACCTTTATAACAACAGTAAGTCATGGAGAAAAAATCTTTATTTTATGCTCTAATCATTGATATTGTAAAGGCTGTCCACTCTTTAATTAAAAACAAACCAAAAATGTTAAGTAGCTGAAGTACAGCTTAGTCCTTAGGAAGAGTCTTTACTTGACATGCACTGCATAAAACACATACATTACAACTTAATTTCAATATCCATCATCCATCAGGAACATCTGTGCTGTCACAGCAGGAGAGTGGTGAACAAATTTAAAATGAAGATTCTTGCCTTGACTTTCACTCTCTTAATGAGCACACACTTTAATTTCCAGCTGACAACCTAATGTGATTGGTCAGGAGCAGATCTGTCAATATATTTAATGGGTGACTAAAGTCTACCATGACTCTTTCTCTTCCACTCTTTAAAATACAAAAATTCCAGTTAAAATCAGAAGAACTGAGATTTTGAAAGACCTGTATTATTCAAAAGATAACAGAGTCTAAAATACACTTAGCTCCTACTCATCAAATTATTTTGCTCACACAACTCACAGCATTTTATACTTTAGACCCCAATCACAATATTTTATATTATCAGACAGTATATATTATAATTATGTAAGCAATGAATTAATTGCTATTACTAGCTTCTCTTACCTTCTTTATCCTATTTGTTGACTAGAGCCTCAGTTGTTGCTAGTTCTTACTCAAAGTGGAGATCAGCAAAGCACACAGCTACATTAAAACACATCTAAAAAGAAATAAAGTTTCTGGAAAATGAGAGGAGAATCAATCAGGCAGGTACTTTCTTTCTTCTTCCAAAATGTAAGAAGGCACCGTAGGTTCAGCCCATAATCTCATTCATTAATTCATTCGATAAAAATTATTTAGCAAAAATCCCGTGACAGCCAGAGTGGCCCTTGTACACATATATTCATCCTGGTTTTTAATAAGTACAAAGATCTCAAGTCTTCATTACAGGACAAGTCAGGAGTCACACAACATTACCATCTTGATTACTTCCCAGAAAGTTCTGAAAGAAAAACTCAAGAAAAATTATTTTGTTTTTAATGTCAGAAGTCAAAACACAAATGCAGTTAGATTATAGAAGAAACTTTGATTTAAAAAGAATAAACTTTCAGTTTAAAAATCTTTTGCATTTCTCCATACTGCCATAGGTTAATATTATATTCCTTTTTTCTTTATTTTTTCCTAAAATATTTTTCATTTTTTTCTAAAAATTTTTAATATTATTTACATGTGTCAAAAAATTACTCAGAGAACTTGTTTAAAAGTCTTCAAAACAACTTTAGTCTTCTAGAGTTTCAATTAAAATGATAATTACATTTATTCCTAAAGCCAACCTCACTAATGATACACTAGCTATGTGTAAAAATTCATACACATGTGCCCATTCATATACACACAAATAATGTCTTCATTTGTATGTTTCATTCTTCAAAACTTTGCATATGAGATTTGTTTATTGACCACCACAAAGAAATGGGGAGGAATATAAAATATGTATCCTTATTTTGGAAATGGAGCCATACTTAAATTTATCCAGTTAGAAGGTATTCAAATGAGAGTTATACCATAGAATGAGAACTGCTATGAGCGAATGAATAATTTTTGATGGGGCTTAGATGTTATGCAACTTTGAGAGCCATTGTAGCAGTTTATACAAGCTGTTGGTTCTGTATCTATTGTTGAGCCTGTTCAGTCAGCCAGATTGGCAATTAGCAAGAAAATCTGGATGTGGATAAGACCCAGGACAAACTAGAATCCAGTTTGCAAGGATGGGTCAAACTACAAAGGGCAATTGGAAGCTATGAGACAATTTGGAACTTTCCAGCCTTGCCTACAGAGGGAGCAAAATACAGAAGACAGACAAGAAAAACTGCAATCCACGTGAGATGTGATGACTTTCTATAGTGATGATATAAACAATACCTTTGTTTAACAAGTAGTAAGAAAATTGTAATTTGGCTTATGCAGAAGGTATATTTCAATAGAAAATTGACCCTTACTGTGACCTTCCCTACCATTCATTATTTATGCTACTGCTTCAATCAACTACTCTTTTCAGGCAGTTCTTAGTATGTAAATATAATCTTGAACATAGCCAGACAGACTATATTAATCATCAAATGGCTATCATTTGCTTTGCTTCAGTGAAAGTAATTATATCCCCACGTTGAGCCACCGGACCTCTGACCTATGAAAAGCCAGTGCTTGGCTGGGAAACAGTGTACTATTAAATGTGCAGGGACTTTGGTCCCTTACATTTATGATTTGTTGAGCACATAACCGAGACAGTCAATAAAAATTGACATCTTTAGAAAATAATGCATTACACAATTTTCTATTTTTTTTATTTCCAAGATACATACCACTTCTCCTAGTTTCTTCCCACTTCACAATTAATTGGGAACTGAGGCTCAGGAAGCATAGCCAAGCCTAAAGGTTGCACATCGTATTGCTCCTTGGCTGTAGCAGAGAACAGAGGAACTACAAAAGACTACATGTCATGGGGAATAAAGGAAATCTGTGTCGGGAAATTTTACATGAATCAAGCAGGATAGATAAAAAGCAAAAAATTCAGGCTTGCGGAAATAAGGAAAACCCAGAAGGAGGGATTACAACAGATGGAGAAATAGGGATAAAAGTAGAGATGAAAGACATGCCCCAAAACCTGTCAGGCAGATTTCATTTTGAGGTGTGCACAAGTAGCGTCTTTTTGCTGTGAACTTCTGAAACAGCCTTGTGGGCTCATGTGGAGAGAGCTGGACTACCACCAAACACAAACTGTGGCAATTATTATACAAAACCTCTGATTTAAAGGACAGAGAAATTGAGAGTCAAATCTCAGAGACTGAAAAATAAGGACCAAAGCTTTGTAGCTCCCTCTAGTGCACAGTTAGACTTCCAAGCCTTTTCACCGGGACCACAGGAAGTCGGTCCTTCCCTGCTGCTGTGGGACGGAGACCATTTTAACCCACCAGGACCAGTAGTTTGGTCCTTCTCTACCGCTGCAGTGCTGAGGTCATTCTAAAATTTAAAAAGGACTCGATCAATGCAGAAATGTAATATCTGCAGTTCCTTTTCCACCATGACTGGTACTACTTAATAAGTCTTTTTTTAGTCAACTAGAATACCTCATGTTTGCTGTAGAAGAGCAGAACAGCCATGATGTGAATACGTGAGGACTAGCACCAGAGCTTCCCCATGGGGGGTAGTATTGCTTTTAGAATGACCCAGTGTGGTGGAGCACGCCTGTAATCCCAGCACTCTGGAGGCTATAGCAGGAGAATTACTGTGAGTTCCAGGCTAGCCTGGGCTACATAGTGAGCTCAAAGACAACCTGAATTACTAGCAAGACCCTGTCTCAAAACAACAACAAAAGCTAATAAAGAATGCTTCTATTTTTTAAGTGCTAACCTAAGATTTTCTTTTCATTCAGCCTTTTTATTTCCTTTTCTGGGAAAAAAATGGTAGGTATAAAAAAATCACATTGTGTTAGAGCCTCGTAGAGAATCTTATGAGATCTTAGAGAAACAATGGAAAATTTCTCTATAGGAAAGAAAAAGTTAAATTCACACTGAAGCCACTCAAACATGTCCTGAGGATTCTCATCTTATTCATTCGCCAGTAGAACTCAGACAGGGCTGAGTTGGCAGGTAGACTGAACAGGGTTCACCGGCAAAGAGGTGGAAAAGTGAAGAGAAAGTATCCCGTGAGAAGAAGGATAAACTGACGCAGATTGACAGGCTCAGGGTGATAGTTTTCACTTGTATTTTCCCTGTTCTCTCCAGTCTTTTGCCTACTCTCTAAGGAAAGAGAAAGGAATAATTAAAAATTGAAAAGGCTGTTTCAATAAATTTTATGATGGTTTAGGACACTTCTTTCACCATGTGACATGGAAGGGTTTGTGAGAATAACATCTTTGTCACAGACCTTCTGAGGATGTGACTTCGTGTATCCTTTCAGCATTTCCATGACAGTGCCAAGCAGAAGGTGGTACCTACCAGAACCATGACAAAATCTAGGAGCAGACTTCTGTTTGTGCATACCTGAAGAATTCTCCCTGGAGATAAACCAAATGCTTCATTTTGAAAAGTGAGAACTACATAGTTTCAAAGTGCCTGGACATCTTGCATCAGAAACTATGAGCAAGTAACAATTTGAGTCATTACTGTATGTGTGACTCTATCCAGACAGATGAGGTTGGAGATATATTTTTCCTAATGCAACAAATGACTACAAACCAGGTGGCTTAAAACAACAGGAATGTTCTGGAGATTAGAAGTCCAAATCAAAGTATTGGTGGCATTGGAGGGGAAATATGATCAAGGCCTCTCCCCAGGTCCTGGTCATTACCAGCCAGCCGTGGTGTTTGCTGGGTTGTGAACACATCCTTGCAATCTCTGTCCCAATGTCAGGTAGCATTCACCTCTCTGCGTAAATTTCTGTGTTGTCTTCTCTTACTAAAAGGACACCAGCTACTGCTTTAGGGCCTACCCTAATATAGTGCAATCTCAACGTAACTAATTAGTCTCTAAAAATCTTACTCCCAAATAAGGCTGTGTTCTGAGGTTCTGGTGACATGAATTTTGAGTAGAAACTCATCAACCCACTATGGATTTTTCTTATAATTACTCTGAAAATGTCTCTCTTTCTCTTGTACCCACCATCCCTCCCTTTTTAAAAAACAAAAAAGCAACACAACTGCTGTCTTATTTTCAAGTTCAGAGTCAGAGGGAATCTGGACTCAGTCATCTGTGTATTATGGACAATGACAAATCTTCAACTCTGTCGGAATGTTTAGACATTTGAAAGTTGTATCTCAAGCAGCAACTCTGAGTCCTCCAAGGGAATAAATGTGCACTTCAAGTCACAGTGGAAACAAAAATTAGCAAAATCTATCATCATATTTTCATCTATCAAATACATTTACTGTAGGAAATTCTACTTTTTATTATTCTAAATGACATTTGTCTCGATCTCCATAAAGAAGTCCAGGATGTCTGTTATGCAGAATCCTATTCTTATGGTTAATTTTGGATGATTCTTGATAAGTCAGTGTATTAAAAGACAAAGAATAAAGGTTATATTAGACTTCAGAAGAAGGGTCCAGGGAAGCTGCCAACATCAATGGTTTGAAAGAACAATGACTAGAGAAAGTCAGTCAAGACAAATTAAAAGATAGAAAGAGAACATGAAATTCTAAAACACCTGCTTAGTTTTCCAATCCAATATGAGGATAAAAGGAGAACTCTATATACTAAAAATTAATACATCAGATCCTTTAAATCATCTTGTACTCCATCTTTGAAGGAAAGGACAAGAGGCCAAAGTCCTCTTTCCTAGTATTTCCATGTGTACTATGAATAATCCCCTGAACATCATCTCCTTGAGCTACTTTGCGTTAGCCATGATTATGCCTTGTACTGTTTTCTATCAATTTCTTTCCTTATTATTGATCAGAAACTAAAATTGCCTAGCTTTGTTACTGGACCAAAGAAGATGTTTCTAGTTTTGAACAAGGATGCCGTTAAATATTTTATTTGCTAGCGTAGCCTCATAAATCCACTAGTTAATGTAAAAAACTATGAGAAAAGGGGGAAAGTCTTAAATAAATAATGGCTGATGAGGTCAGTTAGCGTTTCATCAGTATACATTTTCTGCCCTAATAAACGAAATTCTCTAAGGCCAAAAAAATGTGTTTTATCTATATTCGGAGTTAGCTTTTGGTATTGACATAGAATAGCACTCATTGAGTGCTTTTTAAATTAAGTTGAAAATCATATTTAGACCATATACTATTTTTACAAACAGAGGGTCTTATTTTCGCCCCAAAGAGAAAGATTGGACTATTTTCCTTACCTCTTCAGGGAACAATGGTGGAACATAACACCCAAGGACACCCAGGTCCCTTCATCCGGAGGCTTCTTTGGCAGTGAGCCACTCTGTGCCTAGACCAACTTACAAGCATCTTATTTCAGGTGGGCAAACTCTTTGGGCAGGAACTTGCACTCCATTCTACAAAGTTAAAGAGAGCCCTTAGAGTAAACATAGGTTTTATTCTTCATTCTAATTCTACATGGAGCTTTGAAGGCACTGTAAGCAT